TGACAAATATAGGCACTAGATGCCCTTTCTGGCACAACTCTCATAGGGTAAAGGGGGACTTAAAAAATTCCAGAACTGTTCAGCCTCCTCTCTACACCACTATGAATGTGATAGTTATAGCCTCCTCTTTCCCTTTCTTTGTGTACATGTGAGTTTAAATGGCAGTCAAACTTCCTAGTGGGTTAGCCTGGAGGTATGTCTTCCTCGCGTGTGCCAAGTGGCAGGTGGACACATCTGTTTCACATCCACTCATGACCTCCTGGAGCACAAGAGCCAGTTCTCCACTCACCTGTTGCCAAACTGTTACAACTGATACTGTGGTAACAAGTCTAGTTCAGTTGTTTACTCTTTGTGAAATAATTTCATACCTGCTTTGTATTTTTTGTTTGTTTTTCGATCTGCTTACATTCATCCATTACTACAGCTTGCTGATCCTAGTTTCTGGAAGAAGCCCTTCCTGTGGAAAACCTAAATGTTACTTAGGCTGCCACTGCCTTGTCAATCACAGACTCTCAGATTCTGACTCTCTGTCTACTTTATCTATGTATGAAAGCTCTCAGCACAGAGAACAGTGCCACATGATTCACATACCAGTAGTACCAGCTTATTCTTGCCTGTTCCAGAAAGGAGTTATAGTGTCCACACTCTTAAATGCTTGAGCTCGTAGCTAAACATGTGCATCATTTTGATTCAGATAGCTGAGATCAAGGCCCTGAAGATTACTTCAGTGAACTACCACAATTTAGTGGAGTTGCCACATGCATCCAAAGAATGAAAGTTAAGGTTGGTCATAAAACCTGTTTGAATGCACTTTACAACTGGTCTGTATCAGACCTGACAACTGTGGGCTCCACCAGGCACTAAAAGAAAAATCCTTTTGTCCTGCTGATAAGACCACATCAGTGGTTGCAGCACTCAGTTAAAACTCTGCATTCTTCTACTGAAGTGAATCATTAATAAATAGACAATGCAACCAACAGGAAATATAAAATAAAATAAATATCAAATGAAAAAAAGAAACCATAAACTTTGGCATTGGAAAGATGCCTGCAGCAGTTAAAATGAACCTTTGAACGGCTTTGATGTTCATTATTATTTTATCGGTGGCTCCTGTTGAAGTACTGGAACTGGGTGTTTTCACACAGACTCCCACAGCAACAGGATTTTTAAAACTTTTAAAAACTGGACTGTGACG